AAATCTAAATTTTCCTGAACAAAGTTCAGTAGTGTCTTATTACTCGCTGACCTCCCTGAATAGAAAAGCCTAACGGCCCCACACACAGACTTCTGGTTGACCCGGGCCTCTGCTCACCGCCTTAATCTGAGAGATAGATGGGGCTGGGCTGAAGGACTCTTTCTAAAACTGTAGAGGGATATCCAAGGAAATTCTTAGAATTGTAGGCCTCTAGTGGTAGCTTCAGGAGGTTGAATTTCTAGTGAAAGAGCAGAGAGCAGGGTTGTTGAACCATTAACTGACCTCTCCTGCTCCCCTGTCCCTTGTTCATGGAAAGTACTGGCCATTGAGCAGAGAACCAGGTGCCTTCAGAATGGCCATATCCTATTCTCTTGAATGAAGAAACATTGCCCCCTTGTTTGTAGAGTTTGTGAAGCAAGAAGCGGGGTAACTCACGAAGTGAATGATTTCAAAACCCAGCAAACATCTGTGAAGCTGAAGCTTCTAAAAACTTACAAAACCATCGTCCCTCCTTTAGCCTCTCAGGGCAGATCTCACCTTACCTTGCAGGTGAATGTTTAGGGCAAGAGATTTAGGGAACATTTGAAATGTGTATCCCAACTTTGCTCTTTTGTTTGTTAGAGGAGTATAAATGTTTTATCTGAATTTCACTAATGGCAATCCAACATGAATACAGACCCAGCATTTGAGGACCTGTCATGTCTGAATTTCTCCAGAGTGCACCACTAGGCCAGCAAACGTGAGGCGGATTCCAGCTCAGTGTAAGAATGGATCCGGGAGCCACTGGAGCTGTCTGGAAATGTCGCAGAGGCTGAATGGTGGACAGGTTTGTCTGAGTCTCTCTCGTGTCCAGACGTCCTTCCTCCAGCTCCAACATCACTCGATTAGCTCAGGCCCTTATCATCTCTCACCTGGGCTATTGCAGTCACCGTATTTAGACTTCCTCACCGCTAGCCTCTTCCCTCTGCCATTATCCTCCACTTTGCCTCCAGCGTGGCTGTTCTGCAACACAGCTGATCGATCATGTCATGCCTCTGTTTAAACTCTTAGCACCTATACCTAGCGATTTTTCAAGACTCCAAGTGTATAGTAATGAAATCTTTCATCAGGGCTCAGTCAGAATCAATCCATCCTCATCTCAGTTGCCATGGTACCTCGTATACACGTTCATTACCATACTTAGCACCCCATTTTAATCATATCTTTACTTGATATGAGGACTGAGGGCTCTTTGAGGGCAATTACTATGTTTTCATCTAATTTCCCCAGTGCCTGGCGCATTCTAGGCACTCCGTGTCATCAGATAAGCCTTAGGAGCCAGAATATGCCAAGTATAGGAAGACAGTGGACACTCAACAATTTTAAGGGTGTGAATAAAGTATAAAATAAATATTTATTTTATAAATAAAATACATTTTATTTTTTATATTTTAAAATAAATATAAAGTATATTTTATTTTTATATTTAATAAAATAAATATTAAAAAATACATTTTTATAAATAAAAATGTCCTGAATAAAGGACATTCATTCAGCCCTTATTTATTGACCAGAGATCTAGCTGATCTCTCAATTAACCTTTAGCCTATCAGTGGTCCTTGAAGGCGGAAGCGTTTCCCCCCATTTCCGGTGTAGGTGGGACAGGAATATGAGTAATGCAGTGAATGATACAGTCTAGAAATATTTATTCCTCTACACTAAGCTGTCTTTCAACTTTCAGATTCTATGAAAGAAACAAGATGATATATAGCTTATTCTAATTTGTGGTAACATTGTTTATTTGTTTCCTTTTTTAAAATATTTATTTATTTTTGATGCGTCGGGTCTTTGTTGCTGCAGGCGGGCTTTCTCTAGTTGTGGCGAGCGGGGGCTACTCTTGGTTGCGGTCGGTGTGTGGGCTTCTCATTGCGGTGGCTTCTCTTGTGGCAGAGCACAGGCTCTAGGTGCACGGGCTTCAGTAGTTACAGCACATGGGCTCAGTAGTTGTGGCCCGCGGGCTCTAGAGTGCAGGTTCAGTAGTTGTGGCGCATGGGCTTAGTTGCTCCGTGGCATGTGGGATCTTCCCGGATCAAGGCTCGAACCTGTGTCCCCTGCACTGGCAGGCGGATTCTTAACCACTGCGCCACCAGCGAAGCTCCTATTTGTTTCCTTCTTAAGGAGGAGGTGGAATTGGATTGTTTGTTTGGTTTCTTCTTCAGTAAGAAGCATCTTAATATAACTAGTCTGGACATCTGTCCCATTTTCAAAAATTACAAGTTTCGATCATTGCTAAACTGTACAGATCCCAATCTGTCTGCTCTGCATATATTTGCATTTATAAAAGCAGAAGCAGCCTAAAAGTTTTTCTAATGCAATCCCCTAAATGCATGAAGTGTTAGATTGCTTTCCCCCATTGGTTCATGCATTGCTAAGGGCTTAAAAGGATCATTGATTTGAATTATTGAATGTGAACAGCAGGTTGAGTTTCTTTTTTTTTTTTTTATAAGGACCTTTGGGACATTGCCTTAGTTTTTTTGTTTTTAAGTTAAATCTCATTTTTCTCTGAAAATAAGAAGTTAAAGCTGTATTCACATAAGCTCCCAAAGTGCCAGATTTTCATTGTGTTTTTAAACCATATAGGAAATGTTTGATTCTGACGGAACATTGCTGCTGAAAACTGGGCTGAAATTTCTAGGCTGAAAATATAGTTATAACTACTGTTATTCAAGTGTTGTTTTATTTTTCTTTCTTTTTAAAAAATTTTATTTATTTATTTATTTATTTTTGGCTGCGTCGGGTCTCCATTGCTGCATGCGGGTTTTCTCTAGTTGCAGCGAGTGGGGGCTACTCTTCGTTGCTGTGGGCGGGCTTCTCATTGCGGTGCCTTCTCTTGTGGAGCACCAGCTCTAGGAGCGCGGACTTCAGTAGTTGTGGCTCGCGGGCTCTAGAGCGCAGGCTCAGTAGTTGTGGTGCACGGGCTTCATCGCTCCGCGGCATGTGGGATCTTGCCGGTGCAGGACTCAAACCCGAGTCCCCTACATTGGCAGGCGGGTTCTTAACCGCTGCGCCGTCAGGGAAGTCCTATTTTTCCTTTCCTGAAGTTGATGCAGAAGAAATAAAAGAGAGAGGGAGAGATCCTATCTATAATAAAAAGCCATCCTCGATTTTTGTTGTCTTGAAATTTAAGCTCGTTTTGACTTAAATTCAGTAAACACAGTTCTAGACTTTAAATGTTGAACATTTTTATTGTGTAATTTAAATTTTAGTTCCTATTGTTTTTTGATGGTTTACTCTTTCCCTGTGGAAAGGCAGTTGTGCCGTGTCAGCACAATTTGTGATGGTAACATCTGGGTGAATGGATTTATTTCAGTTTGTGTTCTGTTCAGAAAGCTTGCCAAAAATAGAGACTTGTTTGTGATGTCTAGTGTGGCTTCCTAAAACATAGCAAAGAGTCTTACTTAATTCATTTGTCAGGACACTACACAAATAAAAAAATGGAAGTCTCATTTACATAAGGCAGTCATGTGATATAAAAAGTTTAGGTAAGGGGATTGATAGGGTGACCATATAATTTAGTATCTCAACCCCGATGCTTGTGAGAGTGAAATGGGAGTCCTAAAATAATTGAGACATTATTGATCCACAGCAGGTCTAAACTGGGGTTATCCAGGACAACCAGATGCCATTGTCACCCTAACTACTTGCAACTACTATTTAAAGTCTCATTTACCATGGTATATAGCAAGTTCTTCTGGGAATTCTCGTACGTCATTGATGTAGCTGTGTCAAGGAGTGATGTGGTAGGCATTCTAATATATCAGGCAGTATAACACTTTCCTGGATTTCTAGTAGGTAAAAGGCGTGTTAGGGCAGAAGACAGAGCAACTGGGACTTGACAAAGGCTTGAACGCTGCCTAATGAAAAACCTGCTATAGCTAATGGTTAATTGTTATTGGCTAAACATCTTTCTTAGTAAATCAAATATATTTAGCACTTGTAGGAGGGCACAGAAATTGATAGCCTACAGGGGAAAGTTGTGATTTGGGTTGCCTGTGGCTTTGATTCCAGAATCAGAAATATTAGCCAAGGATGTCAGCAAATGAAATACGTTTTCTTTGTCACATGTCATGAGATGCAGCTACTGCCCTATTTTCACTTACAGTCTTCCTTCTGAATTAATATACCTTAAAAATAGCTGCGGATTCTCAAATCTGTAAGAATAGTATATGTTGCCTGCCACAATTTCTTTTCTCCTGAAGATCTCTTCAAGGTCTTTCAAGAATGCAGTTTAACTTAGCAAATATTAGGGGACCTACTCTGTGTGTTAGATGCCTCTGAGATACAAAGAGGAGGGTGAGTCTCTGCCCTCAAGGCATTTTCTATAATACAAGAAAATAAAGTGAATGCATAGCAATACAATACTACAGAGGCAGTTGCCATTAAAAAGATACATACGTTACAGCGGGGTGGTGGGTATAAGGATATTTATAGCACAAGTCTATAATTTTCTGCATGTTTGAAATATCACTTAAAAAATTTTTAAAGCTGTATATCGCTATATCTATATAGTACCAGGAGAATTCAGGGAACTGGGCAGTTACATCCGGTTATGAGGATCTGTGTTGGGTTTATCTACCCTTTTCTGCAACATTCCATTTCCTTTAATTGTCACTTAGCTTCCCTAAAAACTCTCTCATGAAAAGAGTCTTCTTTCTCCCACACCTATTCAGTGGTAGGCAGCACAACACACATTCTTTCGGGTGCCCAGAACATCCCCCATGGTTTGCCGCTAAGAGTCTTTGATGTGAGGTTCACTCTGTCTTTCTCTCTTAACCTTGCCCATCTCACATACACTGTGTGTTGGCACCTGCCCCCAAGACTGCCTCTCTCCTCACCCCATCCCTTGCCAAGGCAATCTGGTATATGCCCACTACTCACCTTCCCCAGAGCACAGCTCCAATCTAAGCCACACACAGCTCTTGACAGGACTCTGCAGTGGATTCCTTTGTCTCCCCGTACAGGTCTTGTTCTCTGAGCACCTGAAGGAGGTGAGACTGGGGGAGAAGCAGGTCTGGAAATCCGGAGGATGTTGAGAAGTGCCTGTGCTGGCTTGAGAAGTGTTATATTCAGGAGTTGCCGTTGGGTTGGTCTCAAAGGAGAGATGGAGGCTGAAGAGCTGAGATTCTTCAATGTGTGACGGATGTTCGTGGGCTAGGATCAGGTCATCCTTCTAGGGAGAGTGTAGATGGAGAAGCTGAATGACTTCTGAGTCCTTAGTCATCCCAAATCAGGCCGATGTGGTAGAAGGAAGCCTGGGGAGAATGAAGGGGGTACTGGTCAGTGCTAATGAGAGAACTGGTCAGGTCAGAGCCAGTGATCACCGAACCTGGAGAACTTGAGTTTGTTGGTCATCTTGAAAAGAGTAGGTTCAGAGACCATTTGAAATTATTTGTAATTGCATTATTCTGGGCCAAATGACCAGAAAAACAACCAATACTTACTGAGCAGTTACTGCATGCCCCGCTCTGTATTATTCCCACTGAGGTCTCCCAGCAGCCCTCTAAGATAAGTACCATATCCCCATCTTACAGATGACAACACTGAGGCACAGAGAAATTAAGTAGTTTGCCTAAGGTTACACCAGCTGATTAGTGCAGAGCGAAGATTTGAACCCAGGCACCGTGACCCCAGAGCCCATGCTCTTAATTACTAGGCTGATGCTCACAGAAGATTGTGTGGGGGCTAGGGGAGAAGGGGAGGAGAGGGGAGAGGCGGGGAGAGGCGGGGAGGGGAGGGAGCACCTCTGGACTAGAGAATTAGGAGTTGTTTACACAGAAGTAAAAATTAAAGCTGTAGTTGTGAATGAGATCAGTGAGGAGAGTGAAATTAAGTGTGTGGAAGAGAGAGACACCCAGTAATCACAGGGACAGTGAGCTGATCACTAGCTGAGGATTAGACCCTTGAAAATATCTACTGATAGACCCAGGTTTCTTAGACTCTGAAGAACTCACATCGCCTTTGATGAGCGCAAGAACTTCATATCCTCCTATAATGTTATTTATAATGCAAGTCACATTAAATGCTGTGAAGGAAATCAAAGCAATGGACAAAACGCCACTTTGTTTTTGAACTCAACCCTTACTCCCAGATTCTGATATGTGTCTATACGGGGGCTGACAACACACACACATACACACACACAGGAGCAGCCCTGGCTTGGCAGGTGGGAGGAGAAAGTTGAACAGGATGAGCCGTTTGAGAGAGGGTCAGTCAGAGGCCAAGAGAGGAGACCGGGACAGGGTTTCGTAGTGAAGCCCAGGGGATGAGACCTCTCATCTAAGAAGAGAATGGCAGCGCCGCTGGATGCGCAGGGCAGGGTTCCTTCGGGGGCTGCTGAGATCTGTTCACCTTGGTAATAACACTGGTGCATATGCAGTAGTGTAAGGAAATGGATATTGTGTTTACAAGCAGACAACGTGTGCGAAAACATATTTGCAGACCTATAATGGATAATAGAACAACAAGCTGAAACCCTCCAATCCATTTTCTTGCTTTCCTGAGAGAACTGATCATTAGAATTGCGGGTAACCTTGAGAAAGGAAGAAAAAAAGCTCCACTGGAGCTGGGCTCATTTTCAGCTGTCAGCGGAAAAATACAATCCCGTACCAGCCTCCAGCAAAGCTCTCAGTCTTGGCCAGCCAGTAGTTGTTTTCCAACTTCTCTCTGTTACCTTTAAAATCCAAACATTTTTCCATCCGTTCTTTTCTGCTGTGCCAGCACTGATCAAGCTAAGTGCGAGCATTTGCAACATCAAGATACCAAGATTACTCACTATGTCACTGGACATGCAGATGCGGACGGCCCACCTCCTGCAGCTGCTGGATCAGGCTGTGCTTTTTTTTTTTTTTTTTGGTAGAAGTTCTTTACATATTTGCATTGTTAACCCCTTGTCAAATATATGGTTTGCAATTATTTTCTCCCATTCCATAGGCTGTCTTTTCTTTTATTAAAAAAATTGTTTTATTGAATTAATTCAACATGTAACGTTGTGTAAGATTAAGGTATACAGTATGTTACTTTGATACATTTATGCATTGTAATATTGTAATATGTTTTAGCGATATTTATCACATTACATAATTATAGTACAATATTATTGTCTGTATTCATTATACTGTGCATTAGATCTCTATGGCTTATTTACTACTTGTTACACATTTGTACCCTTAAACACCATAAATCTTATCCACACCCCATCTCCCTGGTCACCAGCATTTTTACTCTCTACTTTTTACAGGTTGACTTTTTTAGATTCCATGTATAAGTGACATACAGTACTTGTCTTTGTCTGACTTATCTTGCTTAGCATAATATACTCAAAGTCCATCCATGTTGTCACAAATGGCAGGATATCCTCCCTTCTCATGACTAAATAATATTCTGTTATGTATATGTACCATGTGGTTGTTTTTCCATTCATCTGTTGATGGGCATTTGAGTTGTTTCCATGTTTTGGCTCATGTGAATGTGCACTCCCATATTTACTGAAGCATTATTCACAGGCTGTGCTTCTGAAGGGATATGGTAACAGCCACGTTCAGTCAATCTTGCCTTGAACTAATGGACGAAAAGAGGCAGCTGACCCTCCACTGTAAGGGATAGCAACACTCTAAGAAATCATTTTTTTTTCTGTGTCAGTTTCCTACCTTTCCCTCATTTCATAGATGAAATCACATGTGTAGAACCAACTTTGCAGTTTAGCTCTGAAGTCCAGAATGGCTACATGGGAGTGCCGTGCCTTTTCAGATACTTATTCCCTTATGTGTTAAATCACCCAGAAAGCTGGAGGAAGATGCTTTCCTGCTTGAGCAGGTGCAAGAAGGGTGCTCTCTGAAGGATATTCCGACATTTTACAGTTGAAAGGATGTGGAAGGTCTGGGAGTATTAATAATAACTATTACTTTTTATTTTTTTAAATAAATTTATTTATTTTTGGCTACATTGGGTCTTCGTTGCTGCGTGCGGGCTTTCTCTAACTGCAGCGAGCGAGGGCTACTCTTCATTTTGGTGAGCGGGCTTCTCATTGCGGTGGCTTCTCTAGTTGCGGAGCATGGGCTCTAGGCACGTGGGCTTCAGTAGTTGTGGCTCGCGGGCTTAGTTGCTCCGCGGCATGTGGGATCCTCCCGGACCAGGGCTTGAACCTGTGTCCCCTGCATTGGCAGGCGGATTCTTAACCACTGCGCCACCAGAGAAGCCCCTATCTTTTTATTTTTAACCTCAGAGGCAGGGAGTGGAGTCAGTTATACTGCTCAGTTCATGGCACACTTTTATTGCCATGCCTTACAATGCCTGCTCTTCTTTCATGTATTTATTCCCCATTCCTGTTCTCTCACTGACCACGCCCCCTTACCCCCATAGGTGATTTGCTCTAATGTGTTTACTGTGTATTTGTTTATTTGTGTGCATTCTTACAAATTGTGTACTATCAACCTACATAATGCTGCTTACTGTGTTACGTATCTTTCTCTTTCTTTTTTCACTCAACTAGGTTTTTAAGGTTCATCCTTGTTGCTATGTGCATATCAAGTCTATTGATTCTAAGTGCCGCAGAATATTCCACAATTCTTATCTCTTCATTGGGTGCTTAGTATATGCTAGGTTCTATATTAAAGTGCTTTAGATGCGTCATCTCACTTGATCTTACCGACAACCCAGGAGCAGGGTACTGTAATTTTGGCCGGATTCCCAAACCGAGTGAAACAAATCAGAATCATGATAGGGGATTCAACAGAGTGAAACCAGTGTGCCAGGAGCCAGGTACTATTTGCTCAGCATAACTCAGGGGCTGCTCTAGCAGCCCCTTCCTGCTTCATTTCTTCTCTTGGACTCTAAACACTGCTGATTTCAACTCATGAGTTCAGCAAATGATTCTTGGGAATCATCTAATACCCAAAGGCAAAGGAGCTGCAGTAAGCATTGGGATCCATGTAAATTCTCTCGAAAGAATAATTTTATAGAAGCTAAGGTGGCCTCAGTGCCCCTTGAACATAGTGTGCTCAGCCCAGACTCAAGCCTAGTGGTTCCAATAGGAAATTACAGAAATTTTGAGCTTCATAGCAGGATCTACATCTTCAGTGGCACAACCAGTTGGGTAAAGAGACAATTGCCTGTGATCTCAGTTGCCTCCTTTTCTCCGGTGGAATGGAGAGATGGTGGGATGTGTCACTTGAGTGTTGCCTAACAGTCTCATGCAAGAGGCTGGAAACTGTGACTGCAGATCATAAGTATGGAAAAATTAATAGACTCTTTATGCAGAATATGAACTCTTGTATGGATGTAGTTAAAGGGTTGTCCTTTATGTCTTGATTCCCACCTGAATCTGGTAGAATAACATATACCCCTTAAAAACTTTTTGTCAACAATTGCACTATATCCAGTGTAACTCCCAAATCAAACTCCACGAAAATGCTTCAAAACCCAGTATAGGGAGACTTTTAACCATGTGTGACAAAAGAGAGCTTACTTCAGTGTTGAAATTCTTCAGAGAAGTATTTAATTATGTTCTCTCAGATCTCGTATTTTGTTTCTCAAGCCTTCATTTCTATCTTATTCATTTTGGAAGTAATGCATTTAAGTAAAACTTTCAATGATCGAGTATCTTTGGAAAATTCTCTGGTTCCTTTCATATTTCTGTAAAAAATAATGCTGATATTACATTTCTTTCAAATTGTTTATTTCTCTAAGGATTTAAAGCATATGTCTAATTTGTATCGACTAGTTTTCACTTCTGGTCATCAAGCTTCTGTTCTCTTATTACCCTGTAAATCCAACTGGCTAATCTAATAAAGAGCTTCTAACAGATTCTTTTTTCCAGTATGTCTTATCTTTTGACTGAATGCCAGTAACAAACTTAACTGTTAGGATTCTTGGCAATATTTCCCAGAGCACACTGACTACTTCCCTCTTCTGAGAGTAATGCCAAAGTATGATGCAATAAGATAATGTGAACCCAGCATGGACATAGCAAAAATTGGAAGGAAAGGAACCTCTCTGGGCTTGAGCCATAGATGATAGGCTCACTGAATCTAGGCTCTGAAAGGTCCCCAGGTGAAACAGACATAGTCTGTGCCCATGAAGTACAGAGGAGGGATGGAAGAGTCATGCCTGATGAAGCTTGATACACACCAGGGAGGAACTCAGAGCTGCCCTGTGCAGCCCAGGGGTCAGGGAGGGCCTCCCATAGGGAGCAGCCTCGGAGCTGCCAGGTGATGGGGAAACTCTAGGTGAGCTCTTCTGACTTCCCAGAGCTGCTTTTTCACATCCACTCATTGGCATTGGAGTGTGACCACCTTCAGGGACCCACAAGTCTGCTGGGTCCTCTTCTTTGCAGAGTAGTAACACTAACATGGAACCAGGCCCTAGGAAAGGGCTGTCACCATATCCTACTCAGAAACTAGTTCACTGGAAGGACCTATGGGCCACTCACTTTCTGACTGCAGAAGCCCATGGACATTTCCATTGCTAGGTCTCCTTTTCTCCTTCTCTTCCTTAGAATCAGAATTTAGAGAACACAATGTGCCAGAAAGTCATCCCTTCCTTGCAGGGCAAGACCTAAGGGCCTTTCCCAGCAGGAATAAGAGTGGATGCAAGTTTCCTCTTCTTCCTGTGGTGGATAGGCTCTCTGACATCCCAGAAAATTTTAATTACTTGGGTTTTTTTTTTTGCCACACCCCAGGGCTTTCG